TGGTCAACATGGTGAAACCCCGTCTCTACTAAAAATACAAAACATTAGCTGGGCATGGTGGCCCTTGCCTGTAATCCCAGCTACTCAGGAGGCTGAGGCAGGAGAATTGCCTGAACCCAGGAGGCGGAGGTTGCGGTGAGCCGAGATCGTGTCATTGCACTCCAGCCTGGGTAACATGAGTGAAACTCCGTCTCAAAAAAAAAAAAAAGCTTAGGGCCGAACAAGGTGGCTCACGCCTGTAATCCCAGCACTCTGGGAGGATGAGCGGGGTGGAAGGTCAGGAGTTCCAGACCAGCCTGGTCAATGTGGTAAAACCCCATCTCTACTAAAAATACAAAAATTAGCTGGGCATGGTGGCAGGTGCCTGTAATCCCAGCTACTCGGGAGGCTGAGGTGACAGAATTGCTTAAACCCAGGAGGTGGAGGTTAGCAGTAAGCTGAGATCGCGCGACTGCAGTCCAGCCTGGTCAACAGAGTGAGACTCCATCTCAAGAAAGACAGAAAGAAAGAAAGCTTAAGTTTGTTATTTTTCAGAATCTATGCCTTAGGAAAAAATCTGAAAGGATATGTATGGAAAAAGGGAGCTCTCAGAATAGTGAAACTCAAGATATATATTTAAAATTTTTTTTTAATGTCTAGGAAATATTTTTAAATTTTTTTTTACTGGCACTATAATGCTGCTTATATAACAAAAATAAGTTTTATTTAAATAAATATAAATCAGACAACTCAGAGCACCTTGCCCTCCTGTGCATACCTGGGAGCTCTTTTTTCCAGAAAGCCATGTATCTTATCGTCTCCTAATCTGAGGCAGCAGCCAGAGCCACTCTCGAACGGAAGTCATCCGTTCGGGTAAGCTGAGACTCTACAATCAGATGACTCACTGGCACCAGGTCAGTCAGAAGTTTGCAAGTAATCAATGAAACCTTCAGGTAGCTATGGGGCCCACTTTCCAGATTATCATCAGGAAGCTTAGTATAGCAAGGTCTTCTCTACAAACTGCTAGCAACATTTTCAGATTCACTCTCCACTGGCCCTCACGCATTATTCAAACATTGCTCCCCTTTAACTGGCAACCCTCCCCTAAGTTCTCTCTAACCCATTAGTCTCTTATCTCTCACCCCAGTCTCATTTTTTTTTTAAAGTCAATACTGATTTTGTCAGAAATTTTCTTGAAATAAGCCTCTTCTATAAGCCAGTATTTTCAGAATTCAGCTATCAGTAAATGTTACTTATAGAATATAACCACTTCACTGTACAAGCAGCTCTGGCTAAAGAAAAACAGAGCAAAACTGAGCATTAAGTCTTTGCTGAAATTACCAACTAAAATAGGGAAAAGAAAAATAACTTTAGTTTCTATATATGATTTTATTTCTAAGTTTTTTCTTCAGGGACATGAGCATAAAACCTTAAAGCTTATGAATATTATTTTGAGATAATTTTCACATCTTTGCTTATCTAAATTCCACCTACTCTTCAAGGCTCCAGTGCAAGTTTCACCTTCTCTATGAAGTGTTAATAATGGCTACAATGTATCAAACACTCACATACCTAGCATCTACTAACTCACTTAATACTCACAACATTCCTGTGAGGAAAGTATGATTATTTCCCCCAATTTCCAGACAAGGAAACAAGAGAGGCCACTGGGAGCAGGTTATACAGCCAGTAAGTGGCAGATACAGAATTTGAGCTCAGGCAACCTGGGTCCAGGGGCTGTTCTTAGTCACTGTTATATGACCTCTCCTCAAGACTGTGGTCCACCTTCTCTTTTCCTTCTACTATACTTGTTACATATACCCCACAATAAATTTATTATGCTCTGTACACTTTTTTGTTTACCTTTTTTTTTTTTT